CGGGTGGTGGAACGCAGAGTTTGGGGGGCGAACGTAAGCAAAAACCCTTTATTTTGGATAGAGTCCCAGTGACCGTGAAAAATAAGACTGACTTCATAATAAATCAAAATTCAAATGAGGATCGTACGTCGCAATCCAAGCACACGACAATCCTGAAATCCTGACCGATGTGACGGACGTTACTCGTGCAGCTCAGTGGCATATTGATGAAGGAGTCGGCAGTTAACCATAACGTCCCGGGCTTCATACCCAGTAGCAGCAACCTTTACCTGAAGAGCCCAAGGAGGGAGGAACGCGGTTGTGGAGTGTAGGGATGGCAGGAAACAACCCGAATGCAATAGAGAAAGAGGCTTGTGAGGTAACGAAGAGCAGACTGCCGTTATTCCACATCGTCTTTTAGGCCGTAATCCATGTGAGTAACCTCGTGATTGGCTCAAGGTATTACCGAGTGTGATTAGCAACAGGCACCAATGGGGGATTCGCTGTCTGTTGGCCAGAATGCCTGTTTACAGTCTGCTAGATGTTGAGAAACAGGACAGTGGAAGATACGATGGAGTTGTCTCACGGGTAAATTTTTATTCGCACGTAAAAAGCCGGGCCGTTTGCGATCGTATGGTGCTTGAAAGGCGCAAACGACCTAAATCCTAATGCTTACTTGAGGCATTCAACAACAACAATTGGGTATACCCCCGAGTATACGGGAGACGCCTTTTCGGCATCTAGTTGTAAGTTACACTTCCCCAATTTTTGGCCGCACAGTATCGATGTAGTGATGGCGACGTTGAGGATGACAGGCAACACTCGTGTAGTATCGCTCATTTTAAGTAGTAAGGCATAGTAGGCGTTAAGAAAACATGGCAGTTAGTGGTGGAAACGAGCTCTCTGCTTTAGCAGGCGGGGTCTTATTGTACCTGAATCTTTTACGCTACCTAGGCCGTCGATTTTGTGGTTCTGTTAACCGCCCAGTGGTCAACTGATGAGTTAATGAAAAGTCATGAGGAAAGTGCCCGAGAAAAAGTTGGACGAAACGACGAACTCCTGAATGGTGTTGTCAGAGCAAGCCAAGATCACACCTGACCGATGTAGGTTCATAGTCAATGGTACTCTCGCGCTGAGTGGCTTGCTATTTCAATCCATGATAACAACTATTTTTCTGACCCCATACCCAGTGTGTTTTTGTTTCCTTTTCCAACCTTCCTTTTTCCCATATGTTACAAGTACAACTTATCGCAATTCAGTGCCCAGACTATAGTGGAATAAGTAGTAATTAACTGAAATGATATCTCCGACGGCACTTCAAATTCGAGGACTGTTTACAAATGACAACCATTGCCATCTACGTGGATGCAAGAGATTTTTCTCTAGCGTCGAGGCCGCTCTCTTAAAAACAGCGGTTTCTACGTTGCTCGACATGTTTCACGATAGTAGTCAGGGGCAGAAATAGAACCTCAAGATGATCGCGGTCGTTCCCCATTAAATGAACAAACTCGTGATCGCCCTGCAGTCCGATAAGTGCAGTTTATTTGTGCGTTGTCCTAAGTATGTTGAGCTTGTGTTACAAAAAGGTGTGTAAGCAAAATCACGAGAAGTCCGTAATCGAAATGTGCACACTAGTTACCTCTCAATGAATGGCCAAATGTTGTAGCATGCCTGTCAGTAATGAAGGACGTACTCGGGCTCTAACAGGTGCTGATCCTTTGACTGTCCGCCTCTAATAAAAACGCTTTCCTCCGCTTTTCCACTCACACACTATGGTCCTGTGCATCCCGTGATCGACGCATCCGGCTCAAGTCACGGTGCCAGAGGTATCGTAGCATTTCCAGTCGGTTCAAAGGATGCGCGTATGCCACTAGGGTTGATGACGAATCGGAGTGATCAGAAAATATTCCACTGCGCAGTTCGCCATCTTAACCAAACTTGCCGATCCAATGAAATACACATCATCTTATACATTCGAAGTCCCCAGTCATTGACAAAAGCGAGCAGCTCACTTCAACTCGGTTTGAAATTTTCCTCCATTGTCTGAACAAGTAGCACCGCGGTAGCCCTTGAAATAAAACGACGAGGTTGAAGGCTTCACCGATAACTGAAAGAGCCTTCTGTGGTTCATGAAGCAGGTACCAAGGAGGATACGCCGATCCTTTTTGACTACTGTACAGTTTAAAAAGAAAACAGTCCTGAAATTTGATCTCGCTCAAGTAGTTCACGAGTGGCTAACTAATACCCACAATCGGTGGCGTTATGCGCAGCAAGCGAATTGCGTCCAAATGAGACCAGCCTATCTGCATTTGGTAGTGACGAACAGGAATACCGCAGTTTGGGGTCATGGCGGTGTCTAAGGGAAGAGACAAGGCGAAGAAGAATGGCGTTCGAGATTCGGGCCGGCGATGACAGCCAAGCTCACTGACCAAACGTACAACAACCCCGAATACTATCTTAGCTAAGTGACAAGCAGGGGATCCTGATATGAGAGAATCGCCAACACAGAAGAATAGAGAGTTAGCCAGCAGGTCGATTGCAAGCAGGTCTTTCATAACCAGGAAGGAATGTTAGGAAAAGGAGGATACGCATGGGAAGGGATGAAGGGATCAGCTATACATCGTCCCTACGAAGCAGCCAGCGGTTGCGAGTGCTGGGAGAGTGAAGAGCCAAGCCGATGCGCGTAAAAAAATACATTCGGGTGCGGGGCGCAGGTATTACAAGTGAAACACTTGGGTAACTATGCCACGAATTCCCGAACGGCCTAGTCATTTCGAGGAGCACAACTACCCGCAAATTGCGCTCCAATCGGAGGGTTAAGATCAGCAACTTAATTAAGCTCAGTCAATCAAATGAGATCATAGTACCGAAGTATATATGTAGGTACGCGCATTGGTATGCATCGACCGTAACAAACTCTATACGGTATGTGTAGTGTATCCAAATAGAGAATTCCAAGGTAGCTTACTTGCAAGCATGCGGAGCCAATTACCGAGTCAACAAAGGTGATTCGAGCTCAACAGGCACTTCAATGAGGGCATGGGATGAGGGCTGTTGCTAAACACCGCATAATGAATTTACGTGGTACTAATTTTATTGAACAACACTTCGCAGACAGAACAGGTTGAACATAGTTAACTTCCTAACACCTTCAGCGCGCAGAAACACTGGGCGCACCGCAGCATGGTGAATCATTCTCTAAACCAGTAAACTAACATCCCGTAGTTGTAATAATTGACTGAAGTCCAGAAAATCCATGCACGCCTTACCCACAAACGCAGTAGTCTCTTTGATGATTTAACCACTAGAGCTGATTCAGCTGCCCAGAAAAGTAAACCGATCGACAGCTTCCAGTGGTTGCTAGTCGACAATGAGAATTGGTGGTAGTGGTGATGGTTGCGTACCAAGTCCCATAGCAGCACTCTGCATTTTTAAGGTACAAACCAAGTGCAAAAGCTCGCAGCGATACGTGCTAATCTGTCTAGCGACACATGCATAGTAGAGGGATCAGACCCGACGACAGCTATGCCGCTCGTATACTCTAGATTTGATAATTGACGGTCAGCAGAAAATCGATGCAAAATAAGGTAGGAAGCAGGAAATTTGTTCGTGATTAGTCTGTTCAAAAGTTGTAGTGAAATTGAGAAATGTAGCAACCCTGATGCGCTTTACTTGCTGTGGATAAGAGGGAAAAGAGCATTCTTTGGATCAATCCAAGGTCATGGGAATCGTGGTAAAGGGGTTTAAAATGGAAAACAATTTCCGCTATAAATAGGTGGAATCGACGGAATCAAACGTCGCCTTTAAGCTATGAAAGGCTGTTTGTGCTAATCCAGGAAGTGAAAAAGTGGTGACGGTCCACAAGATGCCTTCCGTCCAAAGAAACTGCGCTACTACAGTTCCGACCAAAAGACTGAGCCCGTCTGATCTCTTACTGTTGATCAACCTGGTATAAATATTCCAGAGTGCATCATAGCACCGCTCCGTACGGTTCAGCGAATCAAAGTAGTGCGCAAACCTTTGTACGTCGATAAGAAAGAGCCACGACAAAAGTCGCTGAAAACCGAAACAAAAGTTTTGCCGTTAGTAAATAATCAGATGAACTGAAAACGATCCCTAAATGCTGCCATTAAACCTCCCATTACGCGATACTATATAAATTCACTTAAGTGAACCTCAATGTCCCGATAAACATGGGGGAAATTCCAAATGGAATTATTGAGATGAAAAACCGCTTGCCTGAAAGCCAAGTACGGTTATCACGGAAACTACAACAAGCGTCATCATCATCATCAACAACAACAGTACAACTGCCAGTTGAACTGGTGCTTCGCTGCCATACAACCATGAGGACCTATGAAATAGAGAACAAGAAGAGGGAGAGAAGAGGGACTTACTTGAAAACCTTAATGCCCTAAGCAAACATTCAGGGTCAAGGCGCCTACACCGCGTGTTAAAAACATACCGTCACAAACAGCTGGCTATCGTGCAAAGATAAGGCGGCATCAGCGAGACAGCTTTCTTGCGGCTTTCACTGCCTCGCGTCATAATCAGCCATTACCCCGCAGATAACTCAGCACCAAACACACTTTAAACAGGCAGTCCGACTAGGAGACGGCAGCAGATGCGCCACTGATGTCGGCTGCGAGCCATGTCCTGTAGAGTCTACAGCCAAGGACAAAGCGGATCACGTGGACTCCAGCCCGGAATGCGAGACGGACCGACGGCACTCAATTTAGTCGTCAGGGGCTTCATTTCCAGTTCCTAACAAGAGTAAAACCGAGTGAAGTTGGCTAGTTCGATTATTGATCCAAAATGGTATATTCTATCCTGAGGTGATTAGTTCCCTCTGGTGTCATCCATAAAATATCATAAGAGCCAAAAAGTGACGCTGCAGGCTCTCAGTCTGAGTTGCAATGAGCGCAGTCTCCCAAAACACAGCGACAGGTAGGTCTGGCAAAAAGCCGGGGTAATAATTTAATCACACGTGCATACCACAAAGTACAACGATAGATACTAACCAGCGAAATGAAATTTGCGTCTAACGATGCGGCCAGAAGTGGGAGCCACTTTTCGAATATCACACAGCCGGTGCCAGACTTGTAAGTAACGGCGCTTTAATACATCCAGCTGCAAGTAAGGCGAGTTGGGCGATTCCAGAGCATCAAAATCGAGTTCCTGTTCCTCTAGCTGTCGTATTGCCTTGTTCAAACGCTGAAAAAAGTGAGAGGACGAAGATATGACAATGGATGAAGTTAGAAACAAAGCACTGCTTCAAGTTTAGCGACGCATTGAGCAGTATCGGAAGGATGAAGCTGCCAAAAGTGCAATTAAGAGCAACAAATGTACCGAAGAAATGCAATAGAACGGCGACTTATTGAAAAGGCATTCAACATACCTATAGTGCGAACATAGAACCTACAAGCAGGTATTTAAGTAATGTAACAAGCAGCGGAACTGAGATGAATTGCATCGAAGCGAGAGTGTGGCCGATCTCATAGTATACAGTAAAGCAGATAAATTACGGAGAGGGGATTAAATGGAGTGCAGTCATCTTATTTGAAGTTGTAAATGGCACTCAAGGTTCCAACCTAGAGGTCGCTACAACACATCCACCGACCACCTTGAGCGAATAAGGTAGCATCCCGATACTGGTGTGTGTTGAACGAACTCCACTCCTTGTCATTCGGTGTAATCAGCAAGGAGATCAGGAAAATGGAGGACCAGAGAGGCTCCAGAGGCGACGAGATCAATTTTTGACGTCACCAATAGTGTGGTATGTGAAGAGTACCGACGGTAGAGTAAAACAGGTCCCCAATGTCGCACAATAGTAGAACACGATTTTGAAAGAGGAAAAAAGTGAACCGATCAACAATGCGGCATAAGTCGTTCGGCGCACAGCTATCAGAATGCGGACACAAAGAGCACAAAGTGAGTGATATAAGTAACACCAGATATAACATTAATGTTGCGCTGACTTTGAAGCAGCAATGCTTGGTCGGCGTGAGCTCGTAATCAAGGCTTCCCAAGTAACGACGGTAAGGCACGTTCAAATATGTGGATAATAAACAACAGTTGTGAGAGTTTGACAGTATGCTAATGTTATAAAAAATTGGATGAGATTCGTCGCTAAGTAAGACAGCTACTGTACATTCGAGAGAGCACTGGACGGCCGCTTTATCTGGTCGAGACTTGTCAAATAGATTAGATTACATGATCTTAAATATAGAGCGTTGGAATTAGTGTGTGATTTTTGAAGGAGAGCCATCTCATTGACCACTGCACTGCAGTTAGGAGTTGTGCCAAACGCATTAGCCAAGGATGATATTAGTACTTATGTCTAGGTTTGGGTGATTTGGAAATACACGAGAGAACGAATGGAAAAGAGTGATTGGATGCGTGACCATGCGGTGTCGGAAAGACTCGTCAGTCACTGATGGGGTCAAACCCGAGACCAATAAGCAGGAAGGTAGTTCGTACCATACTAATCAAGTATTTGTCAGTTTCTTCCTGCATGCTTTCCCCCAACCAGGTATACGTGTCCGAAAGCCTAGCAAGGCGGTCAAGAATACCTAGAAGAGTCCTCCATGATCGCAGTAGATGATTTATATTCAAATCGCGATTCGGTGCAGTGACTGGTCAGTGCCAACCACAAACGAGCTGACCTCAAGCACATGTGAGACGAGTCAGCGGCCATGCCGCTGATCCATGCAACAGCACTGGCTTCGCTACGACGTTCTGTGATGATGATAAGAACTGAGAAGCTGATGAGAGCCCGTCTCCATGGCTAACTACAGCATCCAAAAGTCATGCGAGTGGGATCGATGTAGGTAGGGGGCGGAAAGTAATAAAACCGACCTGGTCGACGAACTCTGTCGGATGCTCAAGGAGGTTGAAATAGTTGGTACATCAAAAGCAGTGTCAAAGTGGCGATTTGTGCTGTGGAAGTGCGATGTGGGTACTGAGATAGGTTAGTCCGTACGAAAGCTCCTGTATAGGTACTGAGTTCGAACGTAATCATCACTCTGGTGCGCAGTCATCTAGTAGAATAGCCATTCCGAATAATAAATCTTTCGATCACAAACTTAAAAAAGAGAAAGTTGCCGCTCAGAGGCACATCGACTATACAGGGAAAAATCTCTCTCAAGGCCAGCGAGATTAAAAAGGAAACGTTTCGCTACTCAACAATCTTCGCAATTATACCGTGACAACGATACTAAACCTAAATGTGATGCGACGGTTCGTCTGCCACTTCGACCCACTGAGCTATACTGGCAGGTGCCCACTGGCCCCTTGAGAGCTACTCCTGCCAGGTTGGTCAATAGTAACAGATCAAGCAAACCCAGTCTCCTTGTCCGCCCCCTTGAGGCTCTCATCCCCCCAGTTAGTGAGAGAATACCAGAGAAATATGGATGGTTGATCTATTCTCAGCCACATTGACCAATCCGTTGGGCGTCGAAGAGCAATTTAGCAGGCCTGGTGTAATATTGCCGTTTGCTGAATCAACTGGTTCAAGGTGTGAGGTTCATATCACACCTCTCACACTTTGGAAGAGGTTCCATATGAACTTGCTATGTCGAAACGAAACAAGACTCTTAGAGCTGACGACTTTCCACCATCTTTGCTGACAGATGGAGGCGAACCTTTGTTGACTGTAATTGCTGCGTTATCAAACTATTGTGGACAATGAAAATATGCCTTCGGACTGGCCACTTTCAACTCTCGTGCTCAGCAAGTCAACAGACGTTATGCGAAAATTACCGAGGGGTTAGCCTTATTTTCGTTGTCTCCAGACTTCCCACGGGTACCACTCTCCGAAGACGGACTGCTCATCGTGAAAGCCAAATCACTGAAAGCCGGCTTTCGCAACGATCACATGTTCACTCTTCGCCAAGTTCCAGAGCAAAGACATATTTACAGGCGATCAGGTATGGTGGTTTTCCCTAACCAGAAAAACATCTTTGGCTCTGTTGACCGAGCCAGTTTGTGGCACTGTCCATCTGTGAACGGTGTACCAGGGGAACTCCTTTCTACCGTGATTCACTAGGCCAGGAGACTATATGGAAAACTGTCTACTGAATTTCCAACGACAACCGGGAGTGGGTCTCTGCCTATCTTCCAGGAATGCAATTAAAGGGTGCAAAGTATAACCCAAAACGATTGGCAGCCGGTGATAATCTGTAAAAAGCTGAATGAAACGTCTGACTGCTGTCACAGGTAAGTGCTGTGTCATCCGCATATTCAAAGTCAATAAGTTGATCAGTAAGAAGCAGCTCCACACCAGGTGGACGCAGTTTCCATGACTTTCTCGATGGTGAAGTTAAAGAGGAAAGGTCAGTGCAGACAACTTTGTCTCATACATCTGGAGATATTGAAGAGCGGAAATAACTCGCCATAAACCGTCACTTTGCAAGAAATACGTGCGTAAAGGACAACTATGCCATTTGCATATTTATCAGACACACGCTTCCTGAGCATACAACCTCAAAAGGCACATCGGTCCACCGAATCGAAGGTGCCTGTGATGCCGAGGAATATGATTACGTTGGGTCGCCAATAACTATGGTGTTGCAACAATTGACGTAAAATGAAGATGTGGTCAATACACCTTCCATTTCGGCGACAAGTGGATTGCTGATCTCGAATCTGACCCTCACGAGTGTCCGTCAGTCTGTGGAGAACGACAGCGGCAAGCAATTTAGAGGTGATTGGGATCAAACTGATTTCTCGATAATGGCCGCATTCAGAACGTGAGCATCCCTTAAAAATTAGGACTATAACGGAGCGGCTCCAGTCTTCTGGGACATTCTCCTGCTCCCACAGCCTCATAATAAGTTGTGTAAATGATTCACAGGAACATATCTTCCGAATTTGAATAGAAGTAGAGAAAGTCCATGTGCTCATGCGGCATTAATCAATGTCAATAGCCGGATCTCACATCAGATTTCGGAGCGTAAAGGCGGACCAAAGGGACAGTTCAAGGGGAAGCGTGATCAGTGTCCGTTAAGATGGAAATTCTGGTTGATTAAACTGCATTTCAAATTGTTCGGCAAAATGCCCCAAACGCTTAGACAAGCTGAGGATTGTTTGCTCACTCTCGTCGTGTATGTTCTCCTGCTGTCAGTTTCCCATATCGGACGGAATAATTTCCGACGGTTACCAACAGCAGCAGCCATTGCAATTCCGATGCACGACAAGACCATTAGACTTAACGTTCTCTCGTCGGGCTACCGCACACTTTTGTCCTGAGATCTATGCAAGTCTCATTGTGTTCTCTTCTCGCCGGAACATGTCGGCGACTTGCTAGTTACAGAAGACAAGCAAGCAATTGTGATGATGAATCACTTCAATCCTTTCCGAGTAATTCACTCTAAAAGCCACGTTTATACAGGTTAATGAACGATGCAAAAAAGGAGAAAGAATGGCATTCACAGAGTTACAACGGTGGTCAGTCGGTATGGAATTATGCATCCAAAGCGGAATAAAAGGAACAACCCTCGCCTCGTAACTTGTGTCACAATCTGTCCATGTATCTTACCACTTTTCGCTTGCAGTACAAGTGCTTGAATCCCACGCGCCCCAACTATGCCAGCCAACCAGCACTCAATCTGTCTTCAGCATCCTTCTCCTTGAATTTCGATGCAAGCCTCTCCAGTGATCGTCTATGTCACATATCCTGGTTAACTGCTTTATGCAGACTAGACTGTTGTGCTACACCCCATTCCCTCGTCTCATTACTTGGGTCACAATTTGTTCCTCTATTTCATTAATTTTCCTATGCAGCGCAAATCTCCGAGAAATATGAGCACTACATACATTCAGTCAGTGGTTACACCCGGTTCTCTTACCCCCTTTCTCCACTACCCAATGCAACCAGCGTCCAATCTTTCACTTGCCCCGATCTCCTAAACGTCGGTTTTTGACTTATTACTCAACGACTACATTGGAGACCGTCTCCAGATACTTGTGTTTTCGCAACTTCCAAATGACTCCTGTTAAATATTGGGAGGACAAATTCGAAGGCAAATAATTCCGTGTCGCTGACTAGTGCAGGAAACTGGAAGTATAACCATATATAAATGTGGGAGCAACTACAAAATATGATGCATAACTGTTCGTGCTTGGTTACACCATCAGTTCCGAGTAAATCCGCCCAAAGCGTGTACATGAAAAAGAAACTAGTCGTGGAGTGCGTTGTGAGCCATCAACATCAAAAACCATCCAACGTATAAGCTCGATGTTCTCTGCCGATACAGGAAATGTTTTGAAATATGTACATGCGAAGGACAGAAACTATAGTGGAAATAGTCATAAAAGCAAAAAAGAAAAAAGCAACACTGTGAATAGAGAAGGTGCCCTCGACTGACCGACAAAAGTTTCTCCAATCGAAGGACGAGCATCTTGTGAGGATTTTCCATCGGAGAAGGATTTGGGGTGCCCTCAGGTGCGGAATTCGGTTGAATGGGTGAGCGGACATTCGCCACGGGAGAAACAGAAGGCTTTGGGGTTGTATTATGGTTCAAATCAAGAATAACCAGGTCGTCACCATCATCGAGATCGATCACAGTGGTGGAATCGAAACCAGAAGCGTCTGATTCTTTGGGATCTGGAAGCAGGGACCGAGGAATATACCAATTAAATAAAGCATAACAAGTAAGAATTGTGAAGCAGATACAAAGATGGTAAGTGAAAAGTTTAAGAGCGCTGCCGTTAAAGCCCTTGGGCCTATGTCTACAAGGTACCAATTTTGCGAAAAGCGGAAAAGATAGTTGGTGATGGCAGGTCTCCAGATAGATTATATCGGAACAAGGGTATTATAAGACGTAGGTTGTGAGATGACGCTGTCAATTCGTACATTTCCAGAAACCACATATATGTGGCCAACGAAGTGCTCAAAAACGAACTCATGTAAAATCGACTGGTCGCCAAACAGTGGCTAATTTGCATGTCGCACGTCACTACTGTAGCTTCAGTGACACTAACGGTTGCCTTAGGACCCGAGGCGAAATTTGCTTTCGATAAACAACGGCCTCAAGCAGCTCGAGAATGTAAGGCCTTTGACTATGTATAAAGACTTCGCATGTATTGGAGTTGACCTTGCGACCAGGGTTCAGGAAATGCCTCTTGTTTGCTATGGTAACAACCGGTGCAGTCTGACATTTGCGAAGCCACCTCGAAATTTTTGTCGATTCGAACTCCCAGGTTTTGTCAGTGCGCCCAAAGTAGCTGAACTTATGTAAGCAATGTGGCGTGTTCATCTTCGATGACGGTGTCTTCCCTGAGCAAATAAGTAAAGGATTTATCGACGTACACAAACGTAGTTCAGCTGTATTGGACGCCATTTCATCGAATCTCTTATTCACTTCGCGAGGACATTCCATGACGTTGTCAGCTTTGAAAAGTCTTTTCTGAACTGTCTTCGCTTTAGGGAACTCGGCAAATAACCGTGGAACAACGTTCCTCTCTGTACTCCTAGCGTCTTCGGAGTGCAAATCATATGGGCGCATAAGAATAAGTTCAACACTAAAGAGCGCTTGTGTTGTGTTAGCAAAAATCTCTAAATATGTAGGTACGAACCTACCAGGTAGTTCACAAGTGCTGACTTCTGGACAGAGCCATCTGGCGATCCTCCAAGTAATTTGTTTAGATGAGGGAGACAAATGTTCCGCGCAGTCTCGCAAGTCACGGTAAAATTCGGATGAATAATGCTGAGTGTTCTGGTTTCACGAACGATGTCAGTTGAATCCTAACAAAGTATACCATAAGTGTGGGGATAAAAGTGCAATTGGAAGGGGGTGATAGGGATGAGAAAGTGCAACATGATGAGTTAGAAGACAGGAAGGTCTGAACAGTAGCATCCTCATTCCTATCCACCCTGCTCGATACAGCAGATAGCGCGCAGTTATTATCCTTTGCAATGGCTAGAGCATCGGGAACACGTTTGTCATCGTACTGCGTGGGTAGCATACCGTCAGGTTGCCCAGGCCTAGACAGGGGAACGATTAGGACTCTCAACCAAAGCCCGTGGTTCAGAGACCTGACAGCAAAGCAGCGAAGCAACGTATTGGAATACAAAGAGTCCGTTTTATGGAGTAAGGTAGTCACGCACACTCCATCCAGCGGTATGAAGGGCCAGGAGACTAAGTTAACCTAGACTCTAACTACTGACCAATCTAATATGAGTGGATGTGAAGGTGCAAATAACCCCACACTGCATGGCTCACTGGAGAGCTGAGGCATGCAAACCATCGCACCACGTTAGGGTTCGGGCTCCTTGCGAACGCACCATTTAAAGCAAGGAAGATGGCTGTTGTCAGTCTGCGGTATGTGTGATGCAGTAAGGTGAACAATTATATCTCCCCAGCCCCGTCCCAGAAAAAACCTACCTGCTCTTCTCTCATCCGGTATTAGTGTTCCGCAGTTAACAGGACGAACGTATTCGGGAACGTATGCTTCACTATGGACCCTCCCACTGGCTCAAACATACAGTGCAGCCAGTTAGCAGTCGCATGGTACGGCGGCCAAGCGTTGACCAGGTGCACACTATATGACGACCAGATCGTTATAGCATGTCTGTCAGAATCTTGTATACCCGGCTTTGGCTCTCGACGTATAAAACCCCCTGGAGTAGACATCTTATACTGGCTTGAGCACGGTGGCCGGAAGTTAATGCCGACAATCATGGGGTCGCTATGGCTCTCAGTTGCCGGGCATATAACACACTTTTTTCATGGAAACTAGTATCAGCTAGAACAGCAGTTGCTCGTATCAAAGGTCGGCCGACGCACTAACTGTGCCACCAACAGAAAGGGACAAAGACGAATTTTACGATACTTTACAGACGGTGGTGAACCGTGTTCCAAAACGCGACATCTCATTATTGCTGGGGACTAGAATGCACGAACCGGGCCTAGGAACGAACGGACCAGTCACATACTCAGGAGATACGCCCTTGGAGAACGCTGTCATAACGGAGACTGCTTCTCAGCTTCGTCAACCTTAACCGGTTGTGCATAGGCAATGCTCGGTTCCAGCATCGCAGGAAGTGTCTTCTGACGTGGTACTCCAATGATAACCGAACTGCTAGCGAAATAGATTACATCTTAATCCGATACCGGTGGATCTCCTCCATCAATGACTGTCGTGCGTACAGAGGGGCTGAAACGGGTAGTAAAGGTGGTGCGGACCACGTACTCCTGCGCGCCGAATTCAGACTGCGCTTGACAACGCGCCGGAAGACCCTTCCACCAAAGTGTATCAACACTGCCCCACTGAATAATACTGACTACTGCCGATCTCTTGAGGCAGCAATAACAGTAGAAATTTCTTTCAGTGCACCGCACCTCGTAATTGCATAAAATGAATCTATCGACAATCGTTGGACTGCGCTAAAATCGTCAGTTCAACGCGCCGCTTTATCCACCCTGAGCTCTACCTCTATGCCTGTGAAGGACTGCATCATTGGAGATACTATCTGCTTGTCCGCCAAAGCAAGAGAAGCACCTCTCAGAAATTCTACAGAGTACTGCCGCTTGAGACGTGAGGCAACCCGCTCAGCACGGAATGCTCGCAACTGCTACTGGTCTGTTACCGCAGGTAACTTGGAAGCTGCATCAAATTCTGGCAATTTTGGTCATCTTTTCCGTTTCATACGTTTAGCTTTCGGCAAACGCTATTCATCACAACCAATACTGCGTAATTCGGATGGTCAAATCATCCCTGATATGGGTGGAGTATTTAAGCAACCTCATGAACCGCCCAATACACACAACCGCAACCATCTCGGCATTAGCCCAGTCAGGATATGACGCGGATTGCTCACCGCCATCTTTCACAGAAATTGCAGACAACATTCGTCGCCTGAAGCCGAACGAAGCTCCTGGAGCGGAAGGGATTCCAGCCGAAATCTACTAATCCTATCTACCAGCTCTCTTTGGCCATTTGCACGAGCTCTTCTGCTCGATATGGGAGACCGAAGTCTGTCCTTCCTCGTGGAGTGCCACAGTATTACTGCCATTTCCCAAGAAAGGTGACCGAACTGTGTTCAGTAAGTATCGCGGGATTACCTTAAGCGATGTGGCTGTCCAAACATTCGCACGAATCTTGCTTTCCCGCTTTGCCAATGAGAAAAACCTGTGAACTCGCCATAACCTAGGTGGCTTTCGTCCAGGCAGAGGCTGCACCGACCAAATCTTCACTTTACGTCGGGTACTCGAACACGGCTATCAGCTCCAGCAGCCTATGTTTGTTTGGTTCGTTGATTTTTGAGCTGCCTTTGTGAAGCACTGTGGAGAATCCCACTTGAAGACGGCGTGCCGTTTAATCTCGTTAACTTGGTGAAATTATACTACCGCTGCACGAAGGCCCGGATTCGGGTCTATGGAGAAGAAACAAAGGAAATCGACATCAATACTGGAATCTGGTGGGGATGCCCACTTCCTGCAGTACTATACAACTTCGCGGTCGACTGGGTTGTGTATCAAACCCGGGAGGGTTACTGTGGAGTTTAATTTACTCCTGACTCTTGGCCGTCAGACCCAGAATCCGCTGACGATATCACTATCCTTGCAGAAGATTCTATCTCACTACAGCCACTGCTAAATCGGGTCGACCAATCAGCATCCATGATCAGCCTCGAAATTGACATCAGTAAGACGAAGTACCTCTCACCGTCAGTCACCCAGTCTGGCCTGTCGTTCTCCTTACATAGACAACTTATCGAGTCTGTTCCTGAATTCAAGTACCATGGATCCACTGTTCTCGCCAATGGTTAGGCTACATCCGGAATTGACAGTGCCAGAACAGCCTTACAAGTTAGAAACACGTTGTGGCGAAGGAGGGAAATTAGCCTGAGAACGAAAACTCGAATATTCTCAGTAGCCAATTGAGCCATTTCACTCTATGGTTGTGAAACATGCCCACTGCGATCAGAAGATACTTGGAAGCTGGAAGTCTTCGACTATTGGTGTATAAAACTTATCTTGTAAACGAAGTGGCATGAGCGTATCACCAATGACGAAGTTCGTAAGTGCCGTTACAGTCTTCCGAAGCTCTCAGCGCTCATTCAGCGCCGCAGACTCCAGTGGTTCGGTCACGTCCTCCGCAGGCTAGACACTTGCGTCATCAGGGCCGTGATTTTGCCATCCTCTTGCCAGAACTGGTGTTGTTGCCATGGTGGACAATTGAAAACGTGGCTCGCTGCAGTTAATTCGGAAGTCGATCTTCTAGGACTCCAGGTTGTGCAAGGTGCTGGTCACTGGAAAAATCACTGGATCAGTAACTGCGTGAAGCTTGCCGATGACCGCCGCACTTGGGCAGCGGCAATCCGCGATACACATGAGGACGGCCCATCCTGTCGCAGGAGCTAGACGTAGCAAAGTAAGTAAGCGAACTAACCATGAAAACTATAGGATGCATGGCAGTCCCCTTTATGCATCTTTGATGAAGCATCCAACACATGAGTCGTGGTACTTTATATTTATCCTCTGAGATGAGACCATAATGCTGTCAGGTGTGCACTTCACGATACGATACCTTCTTTATCGAGTGGACTGTCTCGAAAGTTGTATCCGTCTTGATTTTCGCGATGTCGGACAGTACTGTTCC